TCCCAGAGCACGGTCTTGGGTTTGGGAGCGAGTTAATGACCGCAAACTGACGACTATGCAAACGAAGGGAAGCAATTATTAACTCCAGCAAAAACAAAGTTGTCAAAATAGTGACAAAAACCTATGGATCACAGTTCAAGAAAAAATATCACTCAACTGGACTTCATTAAAATTAAATATTTCTGTTCTAAAGCCACTGGGACAGGGGTTTCCCTGGCGGTCCAGTGGTTAAGACTCCACGCTTCCACTGCAGTGGGTACAATCCCTGGTTGGGGAACTAATATCCCACGTGCCACGTGGTATGGCCAAATAAATAAATAAATAAACTACTGTGACAAGAATGAAAGGCCAGTCTGGGAGAAAATATCTGCAAAGTATGTATCTGAGAGAGCACTTCAACCTAGAATACACAGATAACTTTAAAAAAAATTTTTTAATAAGATTTAATTTTATTTATTTTTGACTATGTTGGGTCTTTGTTGCTGTGCACAGACTTTCTCTAGTTGTGGCGAGCAGAGGCTATTCTTCGTTGCGGTGCACGGGCTTCTCGTTGCAGTGGCTTCTCTTGTTGCGGAGCATGGGCTCTAGCTCTAGAGCGCAGGCTCAGTAGTTGTGGCACACGGGCTTAGTTGCTCTGCGGCATGTGGGAATCTTCCCGGACCGGGGATTGAACCCATGTCTCCTGCATTGGCAGGCGGGTTCTTATCCACTGCGCCACCAGGGAAGTCCCCCCCAGAGAACTTTTACAACTCAATTATAAGACAAAAACCCAACTGAAAAAAGGGAGACAAAGATCGAAGAGACATTTCACCAAAGAAGATAAACAAACAGCAAACACTATGTAAAAAAATGCTCGATGTCGTTAATTCGTTAGAGGAATGCAGACGTGGAAATGCCCCAAACTGGAAACAACCCAAATGTCCATCAACGGAAGAATGTATAAACGGGTCACCTCCACACAGCGGAAACTACTTGCCACGAAGGCAGGATGGTCTGGAGGTACGTGGAACATCGGGATGACTTTCAAAACAATCATGAGATAAAAGAGGCCAGATCAAGAGAGAGCACAGCACACACTACTCGAGTCGATTTACACAAAACTTGAGCAAATGCACACCAGGTCTCAGGGCAGAATACACAGCAGTGGTTGCCTGGCAAGGGGTGGGGGGCACGGAGGGAGAGAGGCAGGAGGTTTTGTGGGGGGCCCCAGGAAATGCTGGGGGTGACAGGGCCATTTGCTACCTGGGCAGGTGTGTACTACCTAGGCAAGGTGTGCACTCATGTCCATCTCATCATGCTTCCACTTCAGACGTGCAGTCCATGCACTGCAGTCAGACTGCTCTGTCTGAGCTGAGTATTCCTGCCAGCACCACACAAAGGCTATCTATACTGGACACCGATTTAAGCAAAAGTTGTCATCGTTCTATTGGGTGGGGCAAGAAGTGGTATAAAAATGCTAAATCCAAATCTCCTAGAAAAACATTAATTAAATAATGTCCAAAATTAAAAAGAACGGCACAGGGACTTCCCTGGCGGTCCAGTGGTTAAGACTCTGTGCTTCCACCGCAGGGGGTGCAGGTTTGCTCCCTGGTCGGGGAACTAAGACCCCGCATGCCACACGGCATGGCCGAAAGATTTAAAAACAAAACAAAACATGAAAAGCAGCAGCACAAACCTACCTGTTTACATGTATGGAAGCAAACACAGGCAGACAACATGCAGGGCTGAGAAGTGGGCCTCGGGCATGTGGGAGGCAGGCAGACTTATTTTTAAACCAGGGTGTGTGCTGCTTTAATAAAAATTCAACTCCGACGGTGTGACTCAGTAGTCCCCTTCCCAGGCATACATGAAGTGTCCACACAGACACTTGTGCCGACTGCTGACACCAGTGCTATGGAAACTGGTCAAAACATGGAAACAGCCCGGATGTTCATCAGCTGGGGAATGGAATCCACACAATGGAATATTATTCAGCTATAAAAAGAATGGAGCCGACACGCTACAACATGGATGCACCTCAAAGACACGATGTTAACTGAAAGAAGCTGGACACAAATGGTCACGATGGGTTAGTGCACGCTTCCATCCATACGAAACGTCCAGAGCAGGTAAAGCCACAGACACAGAGAGCAGATCAGTGGCTTCCAGGGGCTGGGGGAGTGACTGCTAATGGGGACGGCTTACATTTTGGGGGTGAGGAAAAGTTTGGGAACTAGATATGGTGATGGTTGCACAACTCTGTGAATACATTAGAAACCAGTGAATTGTACACTTTCAGTGGTGAGTTGTATGGCATGTGAATTACATCTCAGTAAAGCTGTTGCCAAACGAAAAAATTCAGTTCCCAGAGCAGAGCTGACAGTGACCTAAGAAAGGCACACTGGTCTCTGCCCCCATTCCTGGTACAGAGCTCCTAATCCCTTGTTATCTCCTGGTGATAGCAGCATCCTTTGTTCTAATGAGGCAACTCTGGGTGGGCTCCTGGATGGGGGCTGGTCACCAGAAAGACCGAGCCAGGGTTAGAAGTGGCACTTTGGGCCCCGCCCCCATCCTATGGGAGAGGGGCTGGAGACAGAGCCAACAACTGTTCATGCCTGGAAACCCTTAAACCACGGCGCTCAGACAGCTTCCAGGGTGGTGGACACATCCATGTACTAGGAGGGTGGGGCACCCCGACTCCATGCGGACAGAAGCTCCTGCGCTCGGCACCCTCCCAGACCTTGCCCTGTGCATCCCCTCCTCCGGCCGTTCACCTGGGTCCTTCGTTATACCCTTTACAACAAACTGGGACTCTGAAGTAAGCCTCCCCGAGTCCTGTGAGCCGTTCCAGCAAACTACCAGATCTGAGGAGGGAGTGGTGGGAATCCGATTTGTAGCCAAATTGGACAGAGTTGTGGTGAACTGGGGACCCATGACTTGTGCCAGCCTCTGGGGAAGGAGGCAGTCTCTCGGGATGGGGCCCTCACCCTGTGGGTCTGCACTGACCCCGGGTAGATGGTGTCAGAAGTGAGTTGAACTATGGGACACCCAGCTGGGGTCCTCAGAAACTGGAGGGCTGGCTGGTGCAGGAAAACCCACATCTGGTGTCAGAACCGCTGGAAGTAGAGGAAACGGAGTCCTCACCAGCCACTTCCGCAGATGCACAAAGCCCCAAAAGCCCCTGGAGAGATTTCAAAAACCCACAAGTAAACCAGAAGCTCCCTGATTCAGGCCGGAGCCCAGACAGCTCCTAGAGTGGTGGGTGGAGGGATGTTCCAACCCCCCGGCTGCCCCTTCCATGTGCGGACTCCACAGCAGGAGTCTGCTGTCCTGCTCACGGGGCCTGTTGTAGCAACAACTCCCAAGGACTCTGCCCACGGGAAGTTCTGGAATCTCACTGCGGTTTCGCACATGCCCACTCTCACTATGGGGTCACTGCGGGGAGGCCACCATGACTAACCACGATAAGAAAGTGCCCCTTTCACAGACAGGAGCCATGTATAAACACACAGGATCACACACAACACCCAACTTTCTTCCAAGGGGTCCAGATGGTGGCTGCAGGAGCCGCTGCCGGGATGCCCAGGAGCACTGGGCGGTGCCCACGCGTGGCCTCTGAGCTCAGAGTCGGTTGGTTCACGGCCATTGCTGATCACAAAGGGGTCCAGGTCTCCATCCGCCCAAACATCCAACACATCACCAGCCAGGCCGAGCCCATAGGCCTGACCACAGCACCCCGGCCTCCATGTCCTCACGGGGCTGCCCAGGGCAGGTCAGCTGAGCATCCCCAAGAGGCCAGCAGGTTTCCCTCTAGAGCCACAGAGCCGGAGACCAGCCAGCTCTGCAGACAATGAAGAAAAGCCCACATCCAGGAGAGCAGAGCCCAGCCCACTTGAGGAGTCCAGCCCTGGTCACTCATTCCGCCCAGCCTCGCCTGCACATGGTCGCCTGCCCCTGCTCCCAGCCCAGGAAGGTCCCATAGTTGTGTCTGGCTTTTACACTGTTCTCTGTTCTCAGGAAAACCCGGACGCCACTGTTGCTCTGCCAGGGTGGCAGTCACGACACACAGCACACACACCTGGCAGGTCTGCTGGGGAAGGTGTGGACCCAGGGCCGGGACGGCAGGGCCAGCTGGGCCACCATGTCCTCAAACAAGGGAGCAGCAGAGGGCACCACAAAGCCCAGCAGTGGGCAGGCCTGACTTACGGGGCAGGACGGTGTGAAAAGTTTGAAGGGCGGTGCTGCGAGCAAGAGCGGGCAGCCTCTGCTAAAGGCCGCACCGTAGATAAGACAGAGGCACCTCTGGGAGCTGGAATTAATGGACACACAGAGAAAACAAACGCCCTCAAACCTGCCAACAACCGAGAGCCTCTCCAAGGGAGTCCACAGCTCTTCCCATTTCGCACTGTGTGCCTCGACTATAAAAGTAACGTGAGCTCATGTTGGAAATGTGCAAAACACAGTAAAAGCATAAAGAAAATAATCCATCCCAGAAATTCTACCTGTTAAGCTTCTGGGGTCTCTTCCTGTATTATGAGATAAACATGCCCCCAATGTATTTTTACAAAATCTGGTCACACCATGTTATGGGTTTGCATCCTTTTTCGCTCATTTTTTTTTTTTCCCTTTTTTGCTCATTTTTATACCAGGAACCTTTCCCCACACCATTAAAGACCATCATCTGAGTCCAACTTTTCACATGGCTCCCCTATGCCGGCCATTCAAGTTTTGCCACAAACACCCATAAACATGGATCTGCCTGTCTCCTCATCCCCACAACGTGCTTCTCAGGGGACCTGGAGCCGCCCGGTGCACCCCATTCTCAGCAGGGTGTGTGCCCCACAGCCCTCGCCAGCTCCGAGGGCAACTGCCATTTTAGGAAGTCTTCCCTTGTTGGACAGGGAAAACTTGATCCCAAATCAAAGGACCAGACACAGGGCAGAGCGGGGTCCCAGATCGGCATGGGGACACCCAACGACTTCAGGGACTTCCGGGGTCTCTGCCACATTTAGGGGTCTTACCGAGTTCTTTGGAGCCCTGGCTCTCGCTAGCCAGCTCGCCCATCTTCACCAGGGCGTCGAAATAACCTTTGGCAGCATACGTCACACCTGAGAGAAGAGGAAGCGGCAGTTACTTCCCTCGCTAGGAAGCAGCAACACCTGCAGCACCTCCTCGGCAATCCTGCCTGCCTGCCTGCCTGCCTGCCAGTCAGCCGCCTCCCTGGGCCCAGCAGGCTCCAGCCTGGGCAGGACCTAAGCCCGTTTCTTGCTCATGTTCTCTTGTTCCAATCCTGAGAGCTCCTTCTCTGTGTAAGAGCACAGTGTACCGCTTGGTCCAGAGCTTTTCAGGTCAAATCGCAGGGCGCCACCCCGACCACGAGGCCTGGTGTCTTGACGAGACAAACACCAACCCCAGGCAGGAGACTTGCAAAGTGGGTCAGCAG